TGGAGTTTGCACGTTCTCCTTATGTTCTGGTGGGTTCCCTCTGGGTGCTCCGGTTTCCTCCCACAGTCCAAAGACAGGTTGTTTAAGTGAACTGGGTCCTGCCGAATCTGTGTTTGTCCCGCCCGGCGATGGACTGCGGTCTGGTCCTGGGTGGCCCCCGCCTTGAGCCCAGTGCTTGCTGGGATAGGCTCTGGCCCCCCTTCGCCCCTGAATTGGAAGAAGCAGAGAGAAAACGAGTGGATGGTTTCCATCATTTCTGTATGTATACCCGCATCCCTGAGTGACCTTCATCATTGCTAAATAAAAGACACTCCTTTATCCTCCCAGCTGCATTCAACCGACTTGATGTCAGTCGGTTAGACATTCGTTTCCAGATAGCCCTCGGCGCTTCAAAAAGAACTGAACCCGAGTTCAGGAGGGGGTTGAGAGGGACGTGAGTCGCCCCTACCTGCTAAAATAAATTTGTTCACCGCAGCGCCTGGGCTCTGTCTGCCGCTGCTACAACACACATAAATAAGCGTTTATGGCACCTCTTAAAAAAAAATAACAGCGAGTACAAACGGAGAGCGAATCACTTAGGCTCATTCACAGGGCCACATTCATTACATTTTTATAGAAGTCCCTGACAGGTATAATACCTCCTTTCGACTTTAACGTGAAATGTCAGGCCGCTGTGTCAGCCGGTTTCCATTTATTAAATTAAAATAACCTTTCACTTCTAATAAGATGAAAATTACACATTCAAGCTTTCACGCAGTAGCGCGGCCTCCTGCAACCCAATTATTCAAGCGAGTAGCAGGAGGAATACGGTGTTCTCAAAGAATGACGAAATAGTGCTGTAACGCACCTGTGAACAACATCGTGAACGCCATTTATCGGTGCACCACAGAGCTGTAAACGGGAAATTTACAATGGTAATTGAAGAGAAATAAATTAGACACAGTCCTCTCCCCTACAGAAGCGCGAAAGGCAACGTAAATCCCAGAATTCCAAGTCGAAAAGCTCGCAAACCGAGTCAACTAGTTTGTCTGGGTAGCGCGAAGATTTTAATGTTGCTTCCTTTAACTAAAACTTTTTTTTGTCACGCTAGGGTCACTCACTGACGTATTTTAGTCGTAGTGTGCCAATGGCTAAGGTTAGCATTCATGACAAGGAAAAACTTTTTCCCAATATAGTATTAATATGATACTAGTTTCAAATTTGCCACACGACTAGCGAAGCGATTACAACAGGGGGATTTTCCTTTACTTCTCCCAGCAAAACATTTAGAAAATCTGTAAAAACACACCTGCAAATTCTTGCTTTTTAAAGTCCCAATAAGGTGCGGTTAGCTCAAACAGCCCATACTTGGAACAACAAAAAACTTTCTGGTTGAGACCTGTAATGTCTCATTCCTATCTTTACACCTTTCGTGTTTTACCCTTCCTTTCTTAAAATGCGGAGCAAAGTGTGTTTCTTCGTTCTTGAAATACTCTTTCCAAAAGTCTGGGGCCCAAATTTGGCTCCCGGGTCACTCAAAACGATCCTATTCTCATTTGTAAGCTTTCTGGCCTTGTGTTTCCTATCTCTAGTCTTCAGGGGCCGGCTCAAATCTGCCCAAAAGCAAGTTCCAGGACCTGCGGACCAGTGGGTATTGATGGCTACCCCGTTTCCAAAGCTCAGCTCCTCTCTGTGAAAGCAGTGCGCTGCACACCTGCGTTTGGCTGAAAATTTATGAACTCAGTAAAAAAACAAAACAAAATTACAGGCACAGCGATAAAACAACCAGAGACCGGGGACAAGGGTGAGTCTCGTCCTTATTTACTTATTCATTCATCCGGTTGTGTATTTATGAGCAAAAGCAGCTGTAAAAAACAGAATATAGACGTAAGGGTGGGGGGGGGGGTATTTTCGAAGGCAGGATGGATGAGGATATTTGCGCTCGCACGGTAGGAGGGGTATATAAATCAGGAGGGAGAGCGAGAAGGGGGCACATCAGACTCGGGACGCTGGAGAGGAGAAGTCGCCAAGCAAACGAAAATCTCCGACAAAGGTCCCTGCCGCACTGCCTCCCAGCTCTCCCCCGTGAAGACCAGCCATGATGGGCAAGCTCCTGCTGTCCTGGGCCCTGCTGCTCACCGTGTCCTGGCCCGTCTTCGCCCACCCCATCACAGACTCAGCCGAGATGTCCTACTCCGGGCCGGGTGAGTGTGACCAGCTGGTAACAGCCACAGGCTGACCCGGCACTCTGGCAGGGCAGCCATCCCAGCAGGCAGAGAGGGCTCGGGGGAGTTGACCGCACCAGAACTCCTGTTCGTAACGATGGACCTGTTGCTCAGTCTGCTGGGTGTTACAGGTGCTGCGGTGCATTTATCGTGTCCTGCAAGCAGGCGATTTGCCAAAGCAATGAGGAGGGGGTATGGGATGGCTGGGTAGCACAGAAAGCAAAGCAGGCTGCTTTGTAAACTGTGCTTTGCCCCCAGTGAGGGCACATTTTGATCTCTCGCACTGAAGAAGCTCAGAACGAGTTAAGAGGACAGAACAGCATTTGTTTGGCATTTGTAAGCCCTGCTGAGAAGAAACATTTGTTCTTTTGAACAAAAGAGAGGCTCCCAACACAGTGTTGTGGCCCTTCGGTCTTGTTTTGTAAGTAGCTAACTGAAAGATCGCAGTGCATCTCCTCCAGCAGCACAGGTGGAAGAACTGTTGCCTGTGTGGATGTTCTCTTGAACTGTAGTCGTGCCTCCTTCCTCTTCAGTCCTCAGTCTGTTGCACGGGCTGAATCGAGCGTGGCGGCGGTCTTTTCTTGCAGTGTCGGTGGAGGAGAGTCGTGTGGTCAGCCCAGACGATCTCAGCCTCTCGGAACAGGCCTTCCTGTCCCAGGGCAGCCCAGCTCTAGGCTACTCTTCACTGCCAGCCGCTGACATCGTCCGGGATGGAGGTAAGAGCTTCTAGATCTGCATTATAGATCTGTACCATACACAGTATATATCTGGTTGTTGTTATTATGGGTGGCACGGTGGCACATTCATTAGCGCTGCTGCCTCTTTGTGCTGGGACTCCGGGTTCAATTCCGGACCTGGAGAGCTGCCTGTGTGGAGTTTGCATGTTCTCTTTCCTCTGGGCGCTCCAGTTTCCTTGCAGGGTCAAAGACATGCTGGTAAGTTAAGGGGCTTCTGGGAAGGCTGGCCCTGGTGGGTGTGAGTGTGTGTTTGTGTCTGTGTGCTCTGCCATGGACTGGTGTCTGGGCTGGACCCTGCCTTGTGCCTTTGCTTGCTGGGATAGGCACTTATCACCCAACTCCCTTATCTGTCTTTCTAAATTGTAAGAAAAATTATCATTATTGACTTCTTTTTGCATCTTATGCAAGTACAATCTGTTTTTTATTTGTTAATGGGTTCATGTTGTGTTAAATGCACTGCATTATTCATTGTGTCACAGCCTGCAAATTTCCCATCTTTGACAATATATAAGCACTGAACAGCTCTTGAGCCAGAGAGAGTACAGGGTGCTTTTCAGGGTGCAACCAGTTATAACGCTCCTATAGCATGTCAGTTTGATCCATTACGTTGTTTTGGACCTGCAGGTACTAATGTAAACCAAACATAGCTGCTGAGAATGCAAAGTATGTTACTGTGCCCTATTTTGCATGAATTTGCAGACACTGAAGTGAAATATCAAATATTTAGCTTTTTAATGGAATATGAAATATTTTTCTTTTCCTTCAGTACAGTCTGTGTAACAGCCTTTGGCTCATCAAGCCTTGAACAGAAGAATAATTTGACTAAACCTGGGCGTGGGCAGGAATTAGCATTTTTAAATGTATGCAAAAAAAAGGAGGACTGAGATCTCTGCTATCCCTTTTTGAGAAGATCTTCTGTTCATTCCAGAGAGTCAGGTATAACTACACTACTAGTGTCGAGAGGTTGTACCTACGTAGTACAGTCTGCTGTGAAAGAGTAGGAGAATGAATTAAGGAGTCTTCCCTTTCTTACCCAGTGGGAATGGAATAGCCTTTATCATTGCCACTGCGTATATGCGCATGCCTGCTGTCTACATCCCAGTGATGCTCACCTCTGGCTGTTATGTTTTTACATGAGCTCATGTAAGACACAAACTGAATGAGCCCACGATTCCCCAGAGCCAGGATTGAGAATCACAGCTTTAGGGGTGCAAGATCTCTCAAGGTTGTTTCCCGATATCGTATTTCTTGTAATCTAAAGCATAGTTGGGTTTTTTTCATGCAGTGCTCCATTTCTTTAATCTACCAGCGGCGCAGTTCATGCTGTGAGCACTGGCTCTGTTATGTCTGCATTTTAAGAAATCAAATCTAATTATTCAAGTCATTACACTGGAGAGAAAAATTTCATTATGCGGTAATAATGCATTAATGACAGTGCTCATTCATTGTACAGGAGAAGTAAATCTCTCTTTCTCTCCCACTTCCTCCCTGTTCTGTCGCAGGCCTCAGAACAACAGGGTACGTTCCTCGGGAAGCTGTGAAAGAGGTAGGCACCGACGTCTTTGCAACGTTGAAGGATCCTGTTTCCGAGTTACAGAGCTTCTCATATTTTTGCAACTGAGCAGCAATATCGTGTAGCGCATGTGTGTTAAAATGTATGATCACAGAGCCCCAAATTACTGAAATTAGCAGACTCCCTGTACAAATAAAGAGCACGGGACAAAATACCCAGCTCAAAATGGAGCAGACACAAACACCCTGGCGTTCGGTTCCTTGTGCAACGACAGTCTTCCGATGCAGAAGCCTGGTATTCAGATTGCAGGTGTGCAGTTACAGCAGTA